ATCAAAAAATATACAACGTTCACATTGATCTTTTTTGTGTTATTATTAGAAGAATTATTTTTACATCAAATAAGCACACTTCAGCCTCCCTAACTGTGGCCTAACCATGGAAATAACAGAAATTGAGGAATAAAAATTGATGTAACAACACAGCATGAAAATAATTTTAAACGCAGTCAGACAATTTCAGAGTTACAGTTCAGAGATTCATATTGTATCTTTACAGAGCTTGCACCAAGGGAGATTTGACTATCTTCAGGAAAAGTCATACAGCCTACTGTTAAAAAATATTGAAAAGGTGGGAATCAGAGGGGAAATAAAAAGACAAGGCAAAACAGTTGTATAGTGAAGAGATGACATTTCTCTTTGCCTTTTTGACTAGTAATGAGAATCACCCCCATATTTGCCTTAAAGCTAAATTAGTCCAGCACTGCAGAGAAATTTGTGGTTATCCTTTCATGATGACACCATCATGGACTGTACCATGTCCTTGTTTTGGTGTATCATATCAAAGTTTATCTGATGGTCCATGAGCCAGGAAACGGCCATTTTTTACTGGAGCAAATTTTCCATTTCATCTCAGCAGTTTTCATTTCTTCACTAGCTCCTAGTGGTAATACTAAGGAAGAAATAAATTCTATGCTCCACACGTCTCCTCTTCATCTTTCTCCTGCAACTTCAGTATAGAGTTTCCACAATTAGAGTATGAGTGGTCTTGTGTTTTTCTTTTGCTTTTGAGGAAAACTCTATTTTATTGACAACTGGGGATGCCCATAAGCAGAGAGAAAGAGTCAGGTCCATGAAAACTTGGGAAGTAGGTTTTGGAGCAGAGTTGGAAAAATGCTCTTCCGCAAGGAACAGATTATAAATTACCACTGCAAGGTTGTCACCTTTCTGGTGTTTAGAGAGTGGAGGAGCCAGTATTTTAATATTTCATTATTTTGCAGAAAAGCAACTGGTAAAGCAGCAGGGATCATATATGTATGTGTGATGTGTTTTCCGTGGACCACCTGCTCCACTGGTTTGTAGTCTGGAGTAGAAGACTGAAACTTTCTCAGCTATTAAAAGTTGCCCCATGTCTGTGTGGCTTTGCTGGGCACTGGACACGCTCCATATTGCAGTATTATCTGCCATTACAAAACGTTCCGAGGAGAACAAGGGTGCTGAGTGAAATGTAATGTTTTTGATTAGATTGCCAGGAAGGGGAGTTTAGTAGGACTGGCTGGCAAAAATCCTCTCTGTGTTAGGCTTCTGCTAATAAACTTTGCATGCTTTCTGCTTTATTAGCATGAAGCAAGGAAAAAAGAGGGATTCTTTTTGTTGCAGTTATTTGCAGTCTAATTTTTCAGGCCAAAAAAATCACCTGAATGATCTTTATTATAAATATACAACAGAACCAAGGTGAAGCACAAGTCACAGAGAACCCAGTAACTCTGTTTTCAACGGATCAGCTTTTCACACAGTATCCTTCGGTTGAGGCTTTCAGATTACTTAACTAGGTTGAAAACAAAATGTTCTTTCACAATGTATTTTTGGTTTGAAAGGGGATTGGTAGCTTTCTTCTGTCTGCTTGAAGCCTGCTGAGCTGCATGTACTGTACTCTCTTAAAGCTTGGTTCTTTGCAACTTTGAGAATAAAATACTGTACTTGCTCCCATTGACTGACTGAAATAAAATAATCTATGATTCCTGAACAAGTCTAAATGAAATAATAATATCCTTATTAGTGAAAACCAGATTGTTGATACGATAATTAAGCAGATTTATTGTCATCTTCTTGGTCTAGTCTGCTGAAACAGCCTGATGTTTTATTTAATCTCATATCAGAGGAATTGCAGGCGGGTAATCCATCATTAAACAACATTTAGAATGATGGATGAAAATGTCAGCTTTCCCAACATAATCAATCCATATCTCATTAAAACATATTATTTATGTTTCTTATAATGGAACCTGCAGGGGTTTCTTGAGGAAAATGGAGACATCAGCTGTTGTTGAAAGATGAGATGATATACACTGTAGTTTATGAATTAATAAATGCATATAAAAATACTTATCCACACTATCAATTGTCTTTTACAATTTTACAAATAAATCAAATGCCTTGGCTTTCCTCTTGCTGTGTATGGCAGCATTTTGTTATGTTCATTTTGTTAGTACTAATTCAGTGAGAAAAATATTAAAAAGCATGTAGGAAAGACCATTTTGCAAATTATTTCCAAGACATGGTGTGGGGAAAAACCCTTGAATGCAAATTAGTAAGAAAAACTTTAATGTTCTGTTGTTTGCTAGGGTCATCTTTTGTCCCCGTTAGTCCCCTGTTAGATGCAGACAAATCAATGCGTTTATTTTACTACAACAGAGTTCCATTTTAAGGATACTTTCTACTATAAGCTGGCTCCAAAATGAATGAAACTTTGATTTATGTGGTTGTGGTGCTGCTGTAGCTCTGGTCACAATGGCAGATGTTGCCTCACTTTTACTATATTTGAGGATCATTTTATGCTTCAACTCCTAAACATCAATAAAGGAAAACGAGTAGCAAATGACTGCCTTGTGTACAACAGACTAACTCATATTTCAGATGAAAATGAAGATGAAATGTAGCTTTGCTGTGGAATTACCATTATGTGCACCACTAGCAGAAGAGAGCTGGCCACAGGAAACTGTTCCTATCTGTACAGCAGCCAATGCAAAAGAAAAACTGTCATAGTTTGATCTTTATCAGGTCATCTTCATTGCAGCAGACCAGTGACAAATGTATATGTTGGTCATCTAGAGCTGCTTTGAATTCTTGATCTTATATGGGCTCTGGGCACAATGCGCTCCTAAAATTTGTTCCAGTTTATTTTACCCAAGGCAATGCTGGCTGTGAAGGGAAAACAAGCAGTCTCTACAAGCTGTTAGCTTTCCAGATAACAGCGTGTGTGTATGGAAACAAGATTTAAGACATAAAGATCTTATATTTTTCTCCACCTTAAAACAGCAGGAGATATTTTCTTAATTTCAATTTTCTTTGATTGATATAACTTCACCTTAGTGTATGTGAGGAGAGGATCTGTATATACAAGAAGGAGAAAATGTCACTTCTTCATGCAATGATGATGAAAATTACATTATCAAATACCCTAACCCAATCATCAAAACAATCACAATATTTTCACACTGACTCAGAAATCTATCAGTGAACTAGTACAAAACTGGTTATGCAGATTATATTTCTTCTGAAATTACAATGATACTTGCTTCATATTAAATAAGGGTACATTTTATGTCAGCTGGAGGAGTAACTGGAAGGCAGAAAAGATGTCCAAATCTCAGCAGTGATGTCCAGAGCAGAAAAGTGAATATATTATAAAAAAATTGCAGAAGTGAAAAATATATTTGGTGTCTGTCAATAAACCAGAGAGAGAATGCATATACATGTCTGGTTTAGTGCCTGTCTCTGGAGGGCACACATAAATCACAAAATGTCTGAAAGTCACATTTAGAGAACTTTTCTTATTCATTCTTCTCAGGCAAGAGAAAAGATAAAGAAAGAGAATTGTATTTTATATTATATTCATTCCCAGCACAGTTTTCTAGGGAAAAAAAACCTTTAATCCATAAGGAATTGTTCAATCAGCTTTATGGTAACAATGAGACTGGAGAACCTGTATGAGATGACTATAAAAATATAAGATGAAGTCATCTTGCATAGCCAGCCCTTTTCAGTAAGACTATCACCAAATTCTCTTCTATCAGATAAGAAATGTATTAGCAACAGGAGACACACAGTCTACCTTTTCTAGTCATCAGAATACTTTTCCACAAACACTCAGACTTTTTGAAAAGACATGTTTATCTTTTCTCCAAGCTTAATTTTGACAATATTGAAAAGACTTCTAAGCGACCTGAGTATTCAGTGAAGTTGTTCCTGTCTTTTTAGCAGTATTGTGCTTTGCCAGCAAATGAGTCATTTTCAATGCCATTCAACTTCAAAAAAAAAAAACCATGGACTAATGTTAGTCTGATCCTTTTAGTTGAATTTTGTTTATTTTTCTGAGCACAGGAGAAATAAAAAAGCACCAGCAGTGTGTGGGTTTTGGAAAGAAAAATCTGGGCAGCACAGATAACATTGAGGCAATCAGTGAAGCCAAAATTCATTCTGCTGCAAGGAGAGGCAAGGTTTTAAATAAGTACAAATTGAAAGCATATGACAATCAAAAACTATGTAAGAAAAGAAAAGTGTTGAGAATCCACAGGTATCAATGTCCCTTTTAACATGTTATCTGCTTATTTAACCACAATGCATTCTTCAGAAATATTGGCACAGAGAAAGGGAAGTTTTTGTGTTTATTGTTATTAAACTAGGTATAAGCTCCAAAGAGAGGTACTGAATATGGGGGTTTTTTTTTGGTTGTTGGTGTCTTTTGTTGTTTGCTTGTTTTGTTTTTTAATAGTCCTAAAGAGATTAAATGTCAAAATTTAGGCCACTGAATAAAAGCAGAGGAAGTGGAACAGTGGATCCAAGGAGCAGAGACACTGAAAGTTATTTGGGGTGAGAGTTCTGCCAGATGCAATTAGATAGCGCCTTATTCCTGTGCGGGATGTTATTTGGTGACGAACACTTCATGGTATTGCTATTTTTCCTAATTTCTATATGGCTTATAATTAATGCTAGGATAGTACTTTATCATTAGACTGTAGAAATAAAGGCATGGCCTTCCTCTTTAATAGCATCAAGTGATGTTTTAATTAACTTTTGAAAGAGTGGATGGTAAAAGAAGGAAGAATTGGATGGTGAGATTGGAGACTACTCAAGAGCTGCCCCGACATATTCAGGGCACAGCTATGATACAGGTGAGTGTCATTCTAAGGCACAGTTAATGTGGTAAAAATTTTTCATAAATATTTCAACAGTGGCAGGAGAATTTAGGTGTCTTGCACTAAATATTAGTGCCAAAGTATTTTCTGCAGTAAGAGAAAAAAACAAGATAGCACCAACTTTGACACTTATATTCATTACATGTATTATCTGTGTGAGCCCACAATATTTCAGATCCAGTGTCTTTTTAATAATGAGTGTCTTTTCCATAATCGATTTTACAAATAAGCAGTAAGTAAAAATGTATTATCTGTATGAGCCCATGATACTTCAGATACAATGTCTTTTTTATTGATGTCTTTTTTGTATATAATGAGTGTCTTTCTAATCATTGATTTTCACAATTAAGCATTTAAAGTAAAAATATTAAAATATAAATATGTACTGCTCTATATTATCTCTATAAATCAGTTTCTGACTTATTTTGCTAGGAAGAAACCATCCCTTTTTGCACTTAGTGGGTATGTAGTCTGCAATATTGAATGAAAGCACCAATTTGCACTATTTTATGCTGGAAGCTATCAATAATATGTACCTAATATATTGTATTGAATAAAAGACTACATAAATCAGTTATACAAAGGATCATATTATGCTTTTAGTGAATTTCCAGAGAGTCATAAAACCTATAAATCAATGTATTTTTTATAAATTCAGTGTCAGTGGGTTTAATTAATTCTATTTGCCTGAATAAAATTAATGATGTGTTTTAAATATTTGAATTTAAAACAAATATTCAGAATGACGTCTTTTATGTTTATGGTGTTAAAAAATAGCTGTTAGTTAGTTAGTGGATACTGTGCATATGCCAAGCTAGTTTGATTCAAAGCTGAAGTCTCTGGAATTGAATTGTGAGAGTAAGAGAAGATTAAAGCACCAGAGTGCACTGGACTATTTCAAGTGAAAGGATCCAGTAGCTTTGTACAAACTTCCAGTTGGGTACAGCTGTCAGTAATTATTAATCTCATTTCAGATATGAAACACCACGGAATCAGTATTGCTGTGGCCTTATCTTTTCCTGTACTGATTTTTTTCCTGCTCTCCTTGATAAAATACAACATACAGTGCAAGAGGGCAGAACATTTCTGTGTGGAATAGTACTTTCAAATCCCATGTAAGTGCTTTAATACTATACTGTTCAGGTGAAAATTGCAAAATATTTATCTTCACTACTAGTTTGGCACAATTGCTAAGGTTAGCACTTGGTTTATGGTGTTGATGACAAAAAATTTAAGGCAGTGTAGTCTATGGATTTCAAGGAAGACAGTTCAAAAAATATGGGAGAATAGCATGCTTTCTCTGAGCCTCACTGAAAAGAAAAGCTATTTTAGTACTTATACCAGCTACCCATGAGCTTCTCAGGATATAAAAACATTTGACAGCAAATGTGATATTTCTTCAGATATGTCTCCAAGCAAAACTTTAAACTGAAAACCAAGGAAATGCTTCTAATGCAAGGATAGTAGGATCTGCCTCTTGATTTTATGAAAACCATAAGCAAGTGATGGCACATGTTGTGGGACTGATACAGAGAAATCCTCATTCTCATAAAGGCAGAAGTTTCCTAGCTCCAGACTCACAGTCAGTAATCAGGTGGTTTTCCTTGCATGTGTATTTTGCATAGATGGAGGCATAATAAGTGTTTTTAATTTGTTTTGGCTTGATTTGATAGAATCTTTATGCTCATTACAGAGAATCTGGAGAGAAGCCAGTTCGAGAGAAAAATAAGAATTTTTACATCATTTACCAACATATTTATATTAGGCACAGCGTAAACATATCAACTGAAAGTATTCAGTTGATATGTTTATAAGTATTCAGTGGGACACTTTGGAGATATCACAAAAACTGAAGACCTTAGAGATTTGAGGTACTTCCACTTGAAATTCTATCCAGCTAATGACTGATTACTGGTTATTTGAATAGTGAGAACAACATACCTATGACTAATAAATGTTTATGAATAAAGACAATGATTTAACAATGGTTAGTTTAACATTCAGCTAGTGCTTAACATATGCCACATGTGCTTCATTATCACAATTGCTAGGAAAGATATTTTTCATGAAATAAAAATATCAATTTTATCACAATTGTAAGTCCAGGCTATATTCACGGTATCTCAGATATTTTCATTTGTGTGTATTATTTTGCACTGAATAAAAGAATTCCATCTGTTCATGTTTTGTTTCTTGGGAACTTGTTCTTGGCCATTTGTCAGCTGGTTGCTGTTTTTTTAGAGAAAGATGCTTGTAATAAATGCAGTAAAAGTTAATGAGTTCTGACTTCCTGGATCAGCTTGTAGGTCTTTGTGCAGTGTCTCTGCTCTAACACGGTGTGCTGTGTGAGCACACAGACTCTCCTGCCTCCAACACTCTTTAAGAAGCTTTTGCAGTAATGATTTATGGGAACCCACAAAGTCAGACATTGCAGGTTTAAAGAGGGAGATGCACACACCTCTCAGGGGCTTTGTGTGAAACCACAGTATGTATAAACCTGATAAAACATTACAGAAGCCTTGCTATGGCACAGACCTAGAAGGAATTTAACCCAGGATATCCTTCTAATATCCAAGCATTTCAGGAACAGGATACTGAGTAAGAACTGTGTTACTCTCTCTTGCAGTAATGTGAAATCAATCCTTTTGTTCTCAGCCGTAATCTTGGATGTAAGAAAGTCTGATGGGAACACTATATACTCTCAGTCCTCCAGAAACTCAAAGTACTGCTTTTCTGTTCTTGCCTTTCAGAACCTGCTTGATAGTTACCAGATGCAAAGACACTGGTAGCACAGTCTTGCTGAATTATAAGTAATTTAGAAAAAAATTGTAATTATAGCAGTTTAAAAGCCTTGAGTGTTACTATAAGCACCACTTCTGGATTAAATTTGGTACCACTTTTTCAAAATAAATATTTTCAGCAGGCCCTGCAGTTAAGTGCATCATTATGATTAATTTATGCAGAATGAAGCAGCCTTTTAATTGCTAATGATTAGTGAACTTTCTAAATCTGTAAAACTTCAGTAGGCTTAAGCTTTCAATATATAGCACTGCCTATTTTTACACCACAGGCTTCCATTTAACAGAACAGGAAACAGCTCATCCTGAAACTGCTGATGCTGCAAACTCCAAAAAAAAAAAAAAAAAAAAGCTTTTACTTCACCTACAGTGCAGCAGGAGTGTCAGCCCATACCAGTTTTTATCTGACCAGAAAGCAAAAACTAAGAATTTTTATCACAGCATTATCTAGATCTTGCTACAATCTTGACCCAAACTTACTTTGAGATCAGTGATTAAACAGAGAAGAAATGAGGGTGAGTAGAAGTAAGTTATCTTTACCTTTTTGCTTTCTACTATCTAATTATGACCACTGCCCATTTTGTACTTAAATTTTATTAAACACTTCTTGTGTAAGGTCCAGTAACTTGACCAGTTTCTCATCCCAAATTTTGGAAATTTGGAAGGTAAATACATAATTATTTAATGCATAATACAAATTATGTGACACCACTATGGACTCAGCTGGAACTCTTATCTAGGCCAAGTGTAGATGCACTGTAATGCTCAGGGGAAAGTGGTGTGGCACCAGTGTAAAAGGCAGGAGAATTAGAGCTTTCTTGTAAAGTGCTTTCATATTCTTACCACAGCCTTGTCTCCTCATACCTGTTCTGCATAATTTCTTTTTCTGAGCACACTTGTGTCAGCTTGGAAGGAAAGCTGTCACCTGAAGTTTACATGAGTATGAGAGAATAAAATAACACCCTTCTAAAATGCTGTGGGACTTCAAAGCCATGTTCCTCTGTGCTGTACTTTGTGAGCTGCAGCACCTTTTTGTATTATGACAGGATCAGCTGAACTCAAAAACTGTTTTCTTATCAACTGCTCAGGACCAATTGGTGCTGTTGCAGCTACTTTACAGGTCTCTCATGGCATCAGGGAAGCTGCATGGGGAGGTTGGTGTCACTGCCCCTTCACAAGGCAGTTGTCAAAGTGTCTGAAGTATCTGTTCCTGTCCTTAAAGAAGATTACTCTTGATTTAATACAAGTTCACTTTCATACACAATGTTGACCTCATAATAATCTATAAATGTAGTTCACTGTGCCCAATATATATATAATTTTCCTCTTTTTCAGTCTGTGCAAAGAGAACAAACATATGTCCCATACAAAACACCATCCAAGCCCATTTAGGAGAAGATACTAACTCAGCTCTTTATTGTTCCTATACTTAGTAATACAAGCAAACACGAAGTTAGAAAAATGAGCACACATCTATGTTACTTCTATGCTTTTTGTCCTTTAGTGCCTAGGATAAGAAAAAAACATGGACCTGTGAGGTGCTTCATGAGCTGATTGCTCATCTGAAGCATAAATACCTCCAGAATAGCTACTTAAAAACCATATTGCTGAATTGTGATTTGTACATGATTTACTATAATTAAAAGGGGAAGCTACTAGGGGGAAAAAAGAGTGTAGAGGTAGCAAGCAATAAGAACCAAGTTTCCATTTATCTTTGTTTAGTGCAAAAGGTGTAAAATTACAACATTCAAACCCTGTTTGTACAGATGGCCTAGTCAAGGGCAATTTTTCTCTCACAGGTTAATTCCTTATAGTCTGTTTTGGAAAGATGCTACGTGGAAACATTTATGTTTGTCTTTCTCTAACAATGTTTTTTCTCACAAGGTCAGATTTACCAGCAGGACACCAATATCCACAACAAAAGTGCACTAACAAGGCAAACACGGACTTGGTGTTATTGAGTTCCTCCCCTGTTGTTTCAAATGGCACTTTCATATGGGTGAATACAACATGAAGTGACAATTACGTCCTGAATTGCTGTATTCTGAAGTGAAAATGAGGCAAACCTTATGCAGTCTATCTGTGACAGAATTGCATTTTCACCAATTATTAACCATTCATAGCAAGTCTACTTGATTAGAAGTGGGACTGTTTCATTAAACATGATCATTACAGTCTATCATTTCAGTTCCTTTCTTCAGGCTGATTTCTCTGACTGCTCTGTGAGAGTTACCTTCTTCCCAGTCATTTCTCTTGTCCAGCCTTGACCCACAGCTAGTCTTTGGCATTTCATGGTATTGTGGCTTGTGGTAGCAGAAACTGCAGAACAGGATTTTCCCAGTGGCCTCAAACCAAAGTGTTAGTTGTTGGCTAATGTTTAGATTGGAATGCTGACAGCCATGGGTGAAAGAAACCCAGCATTTTGCATTTCTGTAAGCCTGAAATCTGAACAAAAAAATGCACAGAAAATTCCAAATTACCAAATTTTTTTGATTCTTCAAAGAATCAAACACCTTTGCAAGACTGCAGTAAAATTTCATTCCATTATTCTTGTTCTCATATCATATCCATTTATGTCTCAGTTGTGTAAATAAGGAAATCATGCTTTCTAGGGGAAAAAAACCCACAACCTAATCATAAGTTCAGATTTTTAGGCAAGGCAGGGAGTCAATATTTGCCAGAGATGCAACCATCCATTAAAGTAGATAGTAATAGAAGGAAAAATTAAGGACAAACTTTATCCTGTAAGTAAAACAGCTTTTCTTCCAGCAAGTCAATAAAGTGAAATATATAGTCAGTTAAAGTCAAAATACATGCTTCACTCTGCTCAATACCTTGCATAATTTCTCATGTTAGAGAAGACACCAGGCTCTGCTACACAACATTTTGACCATGCAAACTTTAGTTGTTGGTATAATGATGCAACTTGATACTTTGATTAAGCTTGTGGTGCCTGACTAGTTACCTCACTTTCCACATTGAAGTTTATGATCTGCTCCTCATTTTCCCGTCAAAACCTTCTCATTATTTACATAGCTAGCATACAGGTGATTCCAGTCTTAGGCCTTTGTCATTAAATGAGATCCATCACTGTTTTGACTCACTGTAAATAATGATGACAAGACAGGTGTGGTAAAGCACGGGTCTGCCTGGAAGGAGTGGTGAGCACCATCACCCATTCCCAGCCAGTGCCGTGCACGTGGTTGTAGGTCCTTTTTTAGAGATATTTGCTAGCTGAGATTGGCAAGAAATTTTGTGGGAGGAGGACATCTAGTGATCTGATCCGTATTTGCATGAGCTGCATCCTTGCACAGCTGAGTCAGCCAGCTAACCAGGTACAGGATTTTTTGAAGAATAGTGAAGAAGGGGGCAGGTATGCTTTGCTATAAATCTTGGAGTTTTACTGAGATGACACCCAAAAAACAGCAGCCTTTTAACAGCCTAATTTTCAAATCAAGGCTCTTGAAATTAAATGTTGCATAGAAGTAGTGATTCTACACTTCTCATCTACAGCCATGCTATCTCCCACCCTGTATTTTGCTGACATTAATTACTACTTACACATTTCTAGCAGAATGGCCATTAAGATCCTGATGTATTTGTTGTTAAAGCTTCCCATCGAACTACATATCTTGTCAGCATAGCAGCATCTCTGAAATACACTGACAACTCTTTTATAAAGATCTAATTTAAAATTTCTTCTGAAAACATGGTTTATTACATCCCAGAGTGATGAAAATCAGTTATTCAGCATTGTAACTGCAATGGGAGAATATCTCTGTAGTTCATGCTGTTAGCCCCTGACAGATTGGATCTCTTCTTCCAGATTTCAAGTTTAAAAAACTCTGCTAATAGCATGCAGCTTTTTGTGCTGTTTTTGTACCAAACTAATAAGTGGTATGGTTTAAGCTCTGTGTGTGTGTATGTCACAGGCAAACACGAACATGAGTGATAAAGTCACAGGGAATATCCAGAAGGGTTAAGAAAATCTCTTTGAACCATGTTAAGAAATCTAGTCCCTGATTCAGGACTGAAACCCACCCATTCATATCAGAACAAAACCTAAGCACAGAATCAATTTTTAAAAGAATAGCTTATACTCATAAATCCATTACAGTATGAAAATTCTAAATCTGCTTTGAATTTGAGAGGGATCAGTCCTGCCCTACATGGTCTTAGACTTGTTATGCTGTATGATGCTTGTAGGTGGCATTCTCCCAGCTTCCTAATACAAATATTCCTCTGAATATCTGATTTTTCTGGGAAGGAGAGAGCAGATGATAGATGATAGTACTAATACTGGTGTACAAGTCATATAACCATTTTATATAGAGAGACAATTACCTAATCTTTTTCTCATTTTAGCCAACACAGCCCATGGAAGTTGGCAGCAGCAAGAACTTTTTAAGGAACAATAATCCTGAGTGTCTTATCATAACTTTTCTTAAACTCCTTGGCTATTAAACAAAGAATTCAAATTT